GGATCAGAGAAACAGGATTTCAAACAGTTTTTTATACACAATGCGGATGGACTAGGGACAGTAGAAGAAGGGGGATCAGAGAAGACAGGATCAAACAGCCTTTTTTTATACAATGCGGACGGACTAGGGACAGAAGAAGAAGGGGAGGATCAGAGAAGACAGGATCAAACAGCCTTTTTAGACAAAATGCGGATGGACTAAGGACAGTAGAGAAGGGGGGAGGACAGAGAAGACAGGATCAAACAGCCTTTTTATACAATGTGGAGGGACTAACAGTAGAAGAAGGGGAGGATCAGAGAAGACAGGATCAAACTTTTTTTTTACACAATGCGGATGGACTAGGGACAGTAGAAGAAGGGGATCAGAGAAGACAGGATCAAAACTATTTTTTTACACAATGCGGATGGACTAGGGACAGAAGAAGAAGGGGAGGATCAGAGAAGACAGGATCAAACAGCCTTTTTACATAATGCGGATGGACTAGGACAGAAGAAGAAGGGGGGATCAGAGAAGACCGGATCAAACAGCTTTTTTACACAATGCGGATGGACTAGGGACAGTAGAAGAAGGGGGGATCAGAGAAAGACAGATCAAACAGCCTTTTTACACAATGCGGATGGACTAGGAACAGTAGAAAGAAGGGGGGGATCAGAGAAGACAGGATCAAACAGCTTTTTTACACAATGCGGGATGGACTTAGGGACAGTAGAAGAAGGGGGGGATCAGAGAAGACAGGATCAAACAGCCATTTAGTACAATGCGAATGGACTAGGGACAGTAGAAGAAGGGGCGGATCAGAGAAGACGGGATCAAACAGCCTTTTTACACAATGCAGAGGATTAACCCCTTAGGTTCCACAGTGAGTACAACAAGCATGCTTTACTGCATATTCAGACTGATTTTATGGTTGTGGGTTTAGTAACACTTTAAATGCTTGGACATTTCTAATAAAACACGTCACATGCTAACTGCTGCCATTGTTTTGGAGGGCACCCAAAATGATCACAACTCCGTCGGAATCCAACGCTACAAGTGGCATGTCATAGTCAGCCTGAAAAACAGGCCACTTCTCAGCTGTTGCCAAGTGTACAGTGACATTGACTCATGATCTGAAACTGTGCGGCACCCATAGCCTGGAGAACCCAGCCTGGGTCATGCAGAACATAAAAATGAAGGGGTTATAGTGTGTAAACCACATTGCTTTGTATTTTTAATTAATCATTTGGAAATGCTACTGTTGTGGTTACAGAAGATTGATAGGAATGATATATTTGGGATGTCCATATAACAATAAATAGCGGCCTGCAAAATGTGGGATACAGTGAATCAAAGCTCCAGAGACAGCGGCAGCTGGTGGCGACATCGTTTTCGCTTCATTTGGTAGTAAAGACACAACCCTGTGGCAGGCATAATTATACTCCTGAGACATGAAGCAACAGCAACAAAACTCCCAGCAGCATTCCACTCTACACCACAAAACAGCACAACCGTATCATTACAGAGCTAAACATACTCATGCTGAGCCACCACATCTTTCGGTGAGAACGTTTTCTCAGGTTATGAGAAAGCAGATTCTGGACAGAATTCATCTTCCACTAGAAGAAAATTAAAGACTATGAATTGTTACATGGTTCAAACAAAAACTTACAAAAGGCCTCCAAAAATCCTTTTAGTATGTATATTTTTTAGGAGTAGACCCTTTAAAGTAAGCCTTTAATCAGAGAACTGCAGGAGGTGCCTTTTCTGTCCTTTTGAAAAGGCTAGTTGCCTGCCTTGTATGCCGACTCACTGGCTTGGAACCAGTATGCAGATTCAGAAGAATGTAGCAGTGTCAAAAGTCCTTAATGCCTTACTTATTCTGCATTACTGACTCAAAATATTGAAGCAAGAAGGTCAGCACAACAGCCAAACAAATAACATTTTTTGAGGGACAGGTTTACATTCTTCATAGCAATGTCTTTTTGAGTTCTCCAGTATGGCTTTGACAAGTCTAATAGAACAAAGGAATATAACACAGGACTCATGTATAGGTACTTCTCTTCCTTAGCATTTTACAGCACACTATGTCTGAAAAAAAGTATCTTGCTTTGTGTGGTTGTGCTGGGTGTCATCAACTTGTAATCGTAAGGGTGTAACAAGCAATTGGGTCCTGGACTGAATATTAGTAGTAATTGTAGTCCTCCTGTGGTAAGGAATTCAGGTGAAAGCATATATTAATTATATTAAGTGCCAAGACTACACCAGATATTTTTCATAACCAAAAGAAAATCACAATATAGTTCTACCCTATAGGTCAAAGTGTAACAATTTTTGTTAAAGAGGCCCTGTTGTCACCAGCTAAGAAAAGTTGCAGATACAAAACACAGAAAAGTAGATCATTGTAAAATGGAACATTTTTTTTCCTAAACCAAGGGTCTCCAAACCTTCTAAACAAAGGGCCAGTTAACTGTTTAATTGTCCTTCAGACCTTGGGGGGGGGGGGGGGGGGGGGGAGATACAGATTGTGGCTAGTAGGATAAGAAAATGCCCTGGTGTCAATGGGTGTAAATATGCCCCATCATTGGTGTCCGTGGGAGGAATTGTTCCCCATCATTGTTGTCAGTGGGAGAAAAATGGTGCCCCATCACTGGAGTCAGTGGGAGAATTGGTGCCCCATCACTGATGTCAGTGGGAGAAATGGTGCCCCATCATTGATGTCAGTGGGGGGGGAATGGTGCCTCATAATTGTTGACAGTGGGAGAAATGGTGCCCCATCATTGTTGTCAATAGGAGAAATGGTGTCCCATCACTGGAGTCAGTGGGAGAGAAATGGTGCCCCATCACTGGAGTCAGTGGGAGAAATGGTGCCCCATCATTGATGTCAGTGGGGGAATGGTGCCTCATCACTGATGTCAGTGGGGGGGAATGGTGCCTCATCATTGTTGTCAGTGAGAGGAACAGTGCCTCAGGGGGCCGGATAAAGACAATCAAATGGCCATATATACATATAAAGTGCAGTGCTTAACAGAAACAATTGGTGAGACAAAATTATAATAATAAACAAAGGAAATGTCAATCTAGAGTTGTCAAAAATAATGGAAAGTCCCCAAAAGACGTGATAAGCAGGAAAATCCAAGGATAGCTGATGTGTCACCAACCAATCACATAAAAGGCTTACCAAAGAGATATGACCCCCTGTATGATAACCCAGAAAACTGGAAAGCCGGACACTCCTCTGGATCCCCAAGGGAGAAGCGCCAAAGATCCTCCAAGCAATGATCCTAAATAGGGAAGCTAAACCACTCCAGATGGGACCCAAATAGGTATTAGGAGACATGCAAGAGAAGAATGCTCCACATATTGTAAAACCAATAGAACAACGCTTATTTGCAAAATGGTTACACACTCACATCAAAGAGTATAACCATTTTTCAAATAAACGTTGTTGCTGGTTTCAAATAATCATTGCTTGGAGGATCTTTGGCGTTTCTTCCTTGGGGATCCAGGTGTGGTCCGGCTTCCAGTTTTCTGGGTTATCATACAGCAAAGCGTGACTGACCACTCTTAACAGGGGGTCATATCTCTCTGGTAAGCCTTTTATGTGAGTGGTTGGTGATACATCAGTTATCCTTGGATTTTCCTGTTCATCGTGTCCTTTGGGGACTTTCCTTTATTTTTGACAGTTCTAGATGGACATTTCCTTTTATTATTATTTATTATTTATAATTTAGTCTCACCAATTGTTTTCTGATAAACGCTGAACTTTATATGTATACTGTTATATTGCCTGGTACCGGAGTGTAGTGTTCAGTTGCTTGCTATATATTTGCATTTTCATCTTACTTTTAGATTATATATATATTTTGAATCAAATATTGCAAAGCGCTGAGCAAACTGTTGGCGCTATATAAATCCTGTATAATAATAATAATAATAATAAAATGGCCATATCTGGCCTGAGGGCTGCAGTTTGGAGACGTTTCTTCTAAACCAGATTTTTATTCGGTTGCAATATGCCTTTGAACTTGCTAGCAAATTAGAACTCTTCTGGAAGAGTCAATTACTTAGCACAGCCACAGTTCTCCCTCCCTACTTCCTTGTCGTAGTACTATGTTGTTCTGGGAGAGTCCAATTACTGTCTGTGCTAACTCAGCTCCTCCACCTTTTACTTTCCTACATATCCTTTTATGTAACTGCCAGGGAAGAAGCAATGGGGAATACTAAAGATTGTCAATTGAGTGCTGACATCACATCCAAAATGGTGTCACCCAGCAGCAGTTCTAGGTCTTTTGGATGTCTACACAACGGAGGCTTTACAGGAAAATACAATGCATAAAATACACACCAGCCACTTTATTAGGTACACCTGTTAAATTGCTTGCTAACACAAATTGCTAATCAGCCATACACGTAACAGCAACTCAATGCATACATTATACACATGAACGCAGCATGGTTGTTGGTGCCAGACAGGCTGGTCTGAATATTTCAAAAACTGCTGGTCTACTGGAATTTTCACGCACAATCATCTCTAGAGTTTACGGAGAATGGTCAGAAAACAGAAAATATCAAGTGAGCGGCAGTTGTGTGGATGAAAATGCCTGGTTGATGTCAGAGGTCAGAGAAGAATGGGCAGACTGGTTCGGGATGATAGATAGGCAACAGTAACTCATGTCAATATAGACCAAAATCTCTGAGGAATGTTTTCAGCACCTTGTTGAATCTATGCCACATCGAAGTAAGGTAGTTCTGAAGGCAAAAGGGGGTCCAACCTGGTACTAGCAAGGTGTACCTATTAAAGTGGCTGGTGAGTGTATAATCTTATAGGAAGATTATTAAGATTGCAGACTCCAAAATGGATGCCCCAACCCCACCAACCCATTGTCACCAGTTTTTTAAATTCATGCTGATAACTCCATGGAATAATGATCCCTTTGCATACTGACTTTACTTTCTGATTTTCCTGAGAAGTAACGATAATTATACCAATTCTTTTCATGTGCTTTCATTTTAAAAACATTTAAAGTGGTTGTAAAGGCTAAAGGTTTTTTACCTTCACGCATTCTATGCATGAAGGTAAACAACTTCTCTGTGCAGCATCTCACCCAACCCCCCTAATACTCACCTAAGCCCTCTCGATCCAGTGATGTGCAACCGAGTCTTGGCTAACCTAGGACTCCCTCTTCTCATTGGCTGAGACAGAAGCAGGAGCCATTGGCTCCCATTGCTGTCAATCACAGTTAGTGAGCCCATGAGAAGAGACAGGAGGCAGGGCTGAGCCGCTGCTCCGTGTGTGAATGGACACATGGAGCAGTGGTTGCCCCCATAGCAAGCTGCTTGCTGTGGGGGCACCCGACAGGAGGGAGGAGCCAGGAGAGCCTGCGGGAGACCCAAGAAGAGGAGGATCCGGGACTGCTCTGTGCAAAGCCACTGCACACAGCAGGTAAGTATAGACATGTTTGTTAGTTTTTCTTTAAAAAAAATATGCCTTGAGAATCACTTTAATAATTTATCACCTATAACCATTTAGCATAGTTGCACTTAGGCACATATCTGTCTGGACCAATCATCATCCATAACTCACTATTGCTGTAGCATATACCAGAAATGTTGTTAAAAAGTTTTTATAGAATGCCTAAATAATGTATCCTTGGCAGGTAACTAATCTCCACCACTCAAATCCATGAGCTGCATATATTTTACAGGTTACTGGTTTGTGGGCCAAATCCCATTAAAGATTACATCATGCACAAAACAGCCAAGCAAAGCTTTTACATTTACAAAATAGGATACAGTATAATGGTGTGGAAGATTCAAACAGTATATACATTTCTTTGGATGCCATAATGTACACCAATACATTTATATAATTCTATGATTATACCAAATCACAGCAAACGTTTGATGCGCACTCAGTTTTGTTTTTTAAATTTTTAGATAGAATATGGGGAGTGCTAGAACCTCTGCCTGGGGTCATTTACCCTCTCTATTTTTCTGGTAACCACTGTCACAAAAACCACAAGTGAGGGAAAATCTTAAACTCTGGGTTGTCACTTTAACAAGAATGAAGAGAAAATCTTCAAAATGGGACACTTGTCCTAATAACTACTGTGTTCACACCAGGATTCACATGCTGTTCTGTGTGGTGCGATTTCAACCCCCTCATTTTGAATGGGCTGATTCACACCACACAGCATCAAAAGTAGTGCATGCAGTACTTTTGGAAACTCACTATAACTGCAGTTCTTCTGTACCATGGAATCCAGTACAGGCAAAAGCACTGTTTGTGACTTCCGTTTGGGGTGTCACTAGCTTAATATTGGCACCTGTTGCAGATCACAACTGCAGTGCGTTTTTAAAACACTGGGCGGGAAACGCACGCGATACAAGGGTTTCCTGCATCACATCCTGGTGTCAACCGGCCCTAAAAGAGATTTCCATTACCACAGAAAGATTTTTCACTTCTTGCGTCTCAAGATGGAAGTAAAAGGAAAAAGTGTCCCCTGTGGATACAGACAGTATAATGCTTTTCACGGGGGTTTTAAACATTTCAGCCACTATCCTAAACAAAATAATAATAATTTTAGATATACACACTACTAAAACCCGCAGTATCTAAAGTTTTCCTCTACACAGTGCAAGATTTTTTTTCTATAAAATGGAAATTTTTTTTTCTGGAAACCTATGTGGAAAAAAACACCCTCCTAACGTTAGTCACTGGTGGGATTGTTAAAACTGAAAGAATCCCATAAATATGACTCACAGCATATGAAAAATAAAAACTGGAATAGTCTGAGCCTATGTTACACATGTTATCTGAGGAGTATCATGCAGAACACTTAAAGTAAGTTTTTATGCCATTTCCAGATGTAGGAATTCCCTGATCACTGATGGGATTTTTGGTTTGCTAATCACAGATGTCGGCATGACATGAATCAGGAATAAAAAGTGTCATATTTGTTAAAGGCCAACTAGAGTGTACCAAGGAGGGAGGTGTAAAAAAAGCCTTTGGTAACACTTTTTTTTTTTTTTTTTAGGGAAAAGACAGTGATCCATTGAGTCTGCCTTTTTTTCCTACATGTTTTGTTTCAGTATGGATCTACAGTGCATCCAGAAAGTATTCACAGCGCTTAACTTTTGCCATATTTTGTTTTGTTACAGCTTTATTCAGGCCCAGACTGTGCCTGCCAGCACTAGGGGTTGGCATATACGGACAGATCTCCCACAGAGCTGAAGGAGATGAGGGGGGGGGGGGCGCTGGAGATGAGGGAGGGGGCAGCTGGAGGAGATAAGGGAGGGGGCAGCTGGAGGAGATGAGGGAGGGGGCAGCTGGAGGAGATGAGGGAGGGGGCCGCTGGAGGAGATGGGGGGGGGGGGGGGGGGGGGGGGAAGACGCTGGAGATGAGGTGGGTGCCGCTGGAGGAGATGAGGTGGGTGCCGCTGGAGGAGATGAGGGGGGGGTGGCGCTGGAGGAGATGAGGGGGGAGGGCTGCTGGAGGAGATGGGGGAGGGTCTGCTGGAGGAGATGAGGGAGGGGGGCTGCTGGAAGAGATGAGGGAGGGGGCTGCTGGAAGAGATGAGGGAGGGGGCTGCTGGAAGAGATGAGGGAGGGGGCTGCTGGAAGAGATGAGGGAGGGGGCTGCTGGAAGAGATGAGGGAGGGGGGCTGCTGGAGGGATGAGGGAGGGGGCTGCTGGAAGAGATGAGGGAGGGGGCTGCTGGAAGAGATGAGGGAGGGGGCTGCTGGAAGAGATGAGGGAGGGGGCTGTTGGAAGAGATTAGGGAGGGGGCTGCTGGAAGAGATGAGGGAGGGGGCTGTTGGAAGAGATGAGGGAGGGGGCTGTTGGAAGAGATTAGGGAGGGGGCTGCTGGAATAGATGAGGGAGGGGGCTGCTGGAAGAGATGAGTGAGAGGGGGGGGGGTGGTAGCGGGAGGAGCATACAGGAGTCGACCGCTTGCAGGACATTGATAGGAGAGGTGGCTGGGTGGCACATAGAGGAACTGAGAAATGCACCGGTCCTCTATGTGCTGCCCAGACGCCTCTCCTATCCAGGTGGCCCTGGCTCACCGAGCAAATGCCCGGTGTGCCCTGTGGCCAGTCCGGGCCTGGCCTTACTCCAAAATATATTAAATTAATTTTTTCCTCCTGGTGGTTCCAAACTTCTTCCATTTATGGATGATGGAGGCCACTGTGCTCATTAGGACCTTCGATGCTGAAGAAATTTTTCTGTACCCTTCCCCAGATCTGTGCCTAGATTCAATCCTCTCTTGAAGGTCTACGGACAATTCCTTGGTCTTCATGGCTTGGTTTGTGCTCTGATATGCACTGCTAACTGTGAGGCCTAAAATAGACAGGTTTATGCTTTTTCTAATCATATCTAATCAATTGAATTTCCCACAGGTGGACTCCAATCAAGTTGTGGAAACATCTTAAGGATGATCAGTGGGAACAGGATGCACCAGAGCTCAATTTTGAGTGCCATGGCAAAGGCTGTGAATACTTATGTACATGTGTTTTTTAATTTTTTTTTTTTAATAAATTGCAAAGATTTCAAAACAAACTTCTTTCACGTTGGCATCATGGGATATTGTTTGTTGAATGTTGAGGAAAAACATGACTTTAATCCATTTTGGAATGAGGCTTTAACATAACAAAATGTGGCAAAAGTTAAGCGCTGTGAATACTTTCTGGATGCACTGTATGTTTATCCCAAGCATGTCTGAAACAACTTACAGATGATTTACTGCCTTTGCTGGAAGTCTATTCCAAGCATCCACTACCCTTATAGTAAAATAATACTTTCTAAAGATCAGTTAGTTTAAGGTCATGTCCCTGTGTTCTCGATCTTGGTTTCATATTGAAAATCCTGCACTCTTGAACCTTATTCACCCCTTTGATGTATTTAAAGGTTTCAGTCATGTCATGTCATTTCAATATTAAGTTCCTGAGGTCTCTCTTGATATCTTTTATCTCTAAGACCTTTTACCATTTTTGTTACCCATCTCTAAACTAGTTCTATCTTCTCAATAAATTTTTCTAAGGGGAGGTCTCCAGAACTGGACACAGTGGGGATTATTTACTAAAGATGGAGTGTATTAGGTGCACTTCTGCATAGAAACCAATCAGCTTCCAGGTTTTATTGCCAAAGTTTAAGTGAATAAGCTGAACTTAGAAGCTGATTGGCTACCATGCACAGCTGCATCAGATTTTGAGTGAACCAGTTTTAGTAAATCTACTCCAGTAATCTCAAATATCTCTAAAGATCTATATAAGAGAATCAGGACCTCCTTCCTCCTCCTGGTGACCCTCTAGTGATGCATCCTAGAATTCTATTCACTTTCCCCACTACCTGGTCACACGGTTTGCTCATTTTGCAATCACCTGAAATAAGTACCCCCAAATATTTTCCCCCAAGACAAGCTAAGCTTTTACTGAATCATCAGTATACATCATGCAAGTCACCCATTGCCAGACCATGCTCCTCCTCCAATGACACATTCTTCCAGAGACCCTAGGACCCTTTAACTTGGTGTACTTAAATATGCAATACTGAGCTCACATTGTACCTCGCTTTCTCCTAATTCACCTTTAGTGAATGTAAGCTTCCAACATATTTACTGGCTATTAGTAAGTGTGGGAGAGGCTGAACCAAAGCTTGACTCTCTGGGTGTTGGCTGATATGTGATCCGTGTTACGTCACGCAAGATTCTGACATTTTTATTTTTTTATTTTTTACGTACCCCAAATAGTCAAGAGTTCTGATACACAGTTCTCTATGAATCCAACAAAATGAATCTTAAAACATACCCGCTGTTTCAGATACATATTTTTCTTTGCGGTCTTGGTTTGCTCCTTCAGACTCTCATCTTCGTATACTAGAACATAATCAATACGTCTTTGATCATCGTTGAAATATAATGATTCAAAGTTCTGATTAAATTCAACCTAGAATTATGAAAACAAAAACATTTCATCAGAAAAGTTGCAGTAAACGCTCTATAAAATATACAGAAAAATACAATAGATTTATACACACACATGCAAAAGTATTTGTTTAGATTGGTAGCTTTTAGCACTTTATAGATTAGGTCCTAGAGAATATGCAGGCCGACATCTAGCATAGATGCCATACTTCAAGAGTGAGACGAACGCATGTACACATTGTACATTACTAACATTGTACATAGACCTATACATGCACATTTGTAAGTCGGCCAACATTTTGGAGTATATACAGGCAGACATATGCAGATGTGACTGCCATTCTTTTTTCAGCTATGAAATTATACAGATGTTTAAGTACATCCTTGTACGTGAGATGCTTATTTATATATCCATATCTGTGGCAAACATCCGCATATGATACACCAAGCCACCAAGCCTATTTTTCATATATGTTGTGGTGCATTAACCACAAACATAAGTGACAGCAAGATTTTTCATTTCCAATTATTGTTTATTACAAATTGTGATTGGAAGTTTTATCATATCAAAGCACAAAGAGAGGA